AGACCCCCTGGGGGTCTTGGGGGGCCACAGGGGGCCCCCAACTGGGTAAATGATTTGAGGCTCTTTTGGGTTTTCATTTTCGACTTTGTTTTGAAGTTTGGTGAAGTTTAGTTCATTTGATTTCAATTTGTCTCGAAAACCCTAAACCCTAAACCCTAAATGCTAAACCGTAAGCCGTAAATGCTAACCCTAAACCCTCTTCTGTGCTACTGTGTGAGGGTGGCTGGCGTAAACCCTAAACCCTAAACCCTAGAAATTAGGAAGCTGTCTTTGGCCCTACGAATCTGTGTGAGGGTGACCAGCGCAAACCCTAAACCCTAAACCCTAGAAGTGTAGGAAGCTGCCTTTGGCCCTACGAATCAGAATTGTATTCTTTTTCAACTAAATAAAAAAGTTGTAACTAATACGTTTATTTTTATTTTTTTATTTTTGTTTAATAATTTATATAAAACAATAAAGAGACTCTGCGTCGACAGCTGCAGCAATCGGAAAGACCCTACGCGGGCTCAAGTCTGGCTTCGCGCTGCAGCAGCAGCAGCAGCAGCAGCAAACCGGCGCTGCAGCAGCATCAGCAAACCGCCGCTGCAGCAGCATCAGCAAACCGCCGCTGCAGCAGCACTGCAGCAGCAAAGCCAACGGCAAGAGTTTAAGGTGCAAACACTAAAGAACCAACAAAATATGATTACAGAATAGCAGCAAAAACAGTCAGACACGCTGCTGCTGCTGCTGCCGCTGCTGCTGCTGCCGCTGCTGCTGCTGCTGCTGCTGCGGTGCTGCAACGGCAGCAGCGAGAGCAGCAGCGCACCCACAGCAGCAACAGCTCTCGTCGCACAGAGTGGGCTGCCGCTGCTGCTGCCGCCACTGCCGCTGCTGCTGCTGCTGCAGCAGCAGCAGCAAATTTCCAAACGAAAATATTGCGAAGACCCTCACTGCTGCTGCACAATGGCAGCTTGGTAAATCGGTTAGGGAGAAAAGCCCGAAGAGGCTAAAGCACCAAAACGAGGGTTTAGGGTTTGCTAGGGTTTAGGGTTTAGAAGTCCTTGTCCCATTCATATTCGTCTTCAAGTTCTATGCCCTCGTCTTCCTCAATATCCAATCCTCCCTAAAAAGCAATTTCAAACCCCACCAGCAGCGAGGGTTTAGGGTTTAGGGTTTAGGCTTAGCTAGGGTTTAGGGTTTAGGACCCCAGGGGGCCCGCAAAGCCTTCGAATTATATCTAGGGTTTAGGGTTTCGGCTAAGGCTTTGGAGGGAGGGGGCCACGACGCCCTACGGCCTAGCTCTCAACGCGATGGTTTAGGGTTTAGGGTTTAGGGTTTAGGGTTTACCTCCTCCGCGTCTTCTGCGTAGATTTCTCCCTTAGGCAAAAGCGGAGGAGACAAATCTCTCCCTGCAAGTCTGTCCCAGTCGAAGTCCGAGAAGAAGGCGTGCTCCTTAATGTCCTGAACGCAAACCCTAAACCCTAAACCCTAAACCCTAAACCCTAAACCATTTGCCCTCAATCTCCAACCCAGAGCCCTCAGCCGTCAACCCTAAAAACGCGCGCTCCATTATGAACTGAAACGAAACCCTAAATCGCAGATCCTAAATCTTAAACCCTAAACCCTTAAACCCTAAACCCTAAACCCTAAACCCTAAACCCTCACTTTGTATCCATTAATTGAGCAGCCAATCCGCACTTCAGGCAAACGGCACAGCAGCCGCTTCATAAGGTTTATGGCGTCTTGGTCAGTCACGTAGTGGGGGAATATGAGTTTGCCTGCGCTCAAACCCTAAACCCTAAACCCTAAACCCTAAACCCTAAAACCTAGGCGCAAAACGCTGCAATGACCACCGCCTTTGCGGCCGCCGTTTCGGCGGAGCCCCAGGCGCCACGCCCCAGCCCCACCGTCACGCCCCAAACCCCAAACCCTAAACCCTAAACCCTAAACCCTAAACCCTAAACCCTAAACCCTAAACCCTACCTGCGAGAATGTCTCTGAAGATCTCGAGCTGGTCCTCCGCGTCGTTTCCAAAGGGCAAAGGGCCGCACATGAATTCGTAAAGACAAACCCCAAAGGCCCAAGTGTCTGCTGTTAGAGTATATCCTTTTCCTAAATAAAATAATAAATTAATAAATAAATAAATAATAAATAAATAAATAAATAATAAATAATAAATAAATAAGTAATGAATAAATAATAATTGATAAATGATTCATTCAGGTGGCTTGTTAATAATTGAATTGGCAATTTATTCAGTTTGTAAATTCATTTAATTAATTCATAAGGCAACTAATGAATTGCGCAATTAATTAATTTAAAAATGAACGAATTTAATTAATTGATTAATTGAAATCTACTTAATTAATTTAATCAAACAAATAATTAATTAAAGTAATTAAATTAATTAAATAATTAATTGGAGTGTCTGCATGCACTTGCGGCCGCACAGCGATTTCGGGTGTCTGTACACCCGAGTGTCGAAGGCCTTGCGGGTTTTGCGGATTTGTGGAATGAAGTGGCTTTAGAAGTATCATTAAGAGCACAAATTGAAGGAAATCAAAGAATTAAATGAATTAATTGAATTAAATGAATTAAATTAAATGAATTGATGGAATTAATGGAATTAAATTGAAGTCGACAAACCCAAAATGACCTCCGGCGCCATGTAGTGCGGAGTTCCCACGAGCGTGTAGGCTCTTCCCTGCATTTTTTTGGCGCAGCCGAAGTCGATGAGTTTGACGTATCCTGAGGCAATTTTGAGTTAAAAAAAAAGCAAATAAACTCCAATTAGGAAATAAAAAAACAAACCATTCAAAAAGCAAAAGAAATCCCGCGAAAAACACAAAAAAACAAACAAAATCGACCTTTTTACCCTGAGAATCCAGCAAAATGTTCTCCGGCTTCAAGTCCCGGTACGCGATGTTCCGCTCGTGCAGGTACTCGATGGCCAGCACGATCGAGGCCAAGTAAAACTGCGCCTGGTACCTCCCTTGAGAAATAAAAAACATTTTAAAACAATTCAAACTCCATTTGAACTAAAAATACCATTTAATTCCATTTCCCAACTCGTTCTGCATATTCTGCCGAAAAAGCGACGCAAAAAGACCCCAAAATCTCGAAAAACCACAAAAATCCAACTCCTAAACCCTAAATTAGGGTTTAGGGTTTAGGGTTTGGACGCTTGCCTAAAAGACCCAACTTCCGAATAGCGTCGTACAGCTCTCCACCCGTCACCAGCTCCGTCAAGAAATACAGAAACTCCTTATCCCGGAATGTCCGCACTAAACACAAACCCTAAACCCTAAACCCTAAACCCTGAACCCTAAAC